GAGAGAGAGAGAGAGAGAGAGAGAGAGAGAGAGAGAGGGAGGGAGGGAGGGAGGGAGAAGAGAGGGGAGATAGAGAGAGGGAGAGAGGCGCTCCTTCGCACAATCCCAGTGGCTTGGGGAGGGAGAGCGGTTCAGCAGAAAGAATAGAGTCGTGGGATCCCTAATAATCAAGTGCACCTGCAGAGCCTGCAGCCCACCGCTGCCACTGCTCTAGCCGGCCTTGCCCGAGTCCAGATGCTCGAGTCCTACGTACCATTTCATATTCTCTGCTTGCTTCACCTGAAACTCCTTTCTGCATTGCGTCCCTGCCAACAGCGTGGGGCCGTGCGGGACGGGGCACGGCGCGGGGGCAGCTCTAGGGGGCTCGGTTCCACGACAGACCGCCGCTGGACCAGGCGAGCGCGCCAGCTCACGACTATCGTGGGCCAGCGCAGCCCAGCCCAAGCCCAGCAACGCCCAGCCCAGCGCAGCCCAGCACAGCCCCTAGGCCCAAAGTACACTCCTTCGTCCGCCTTCGCCCGCCTCAGCTTTGCCCCACCATGCTGAAATGACGCAGCCCAAGCCGACCCCGTATGAAAAAGAATGCCCATTTTCCGTCTTTTGCTAGTCTTTTTGTGAATACCGCTAGAACACACCTAAGCCAGTACCAGAACACTCCTAAAAGGCTCCCGCGAGACGAGAAAGAGACGTTTCCAGCAAGCCTTGGATCGCTCTTTGTGGTATTTCAGTCGTGTCGTGGTCGTCTTTTCCTTGTCTCGTATTCGTCTCGAAAACGGTCGATTTAGAGACGGAAACGAGATGACGAAGAGACGGCCGGGCAGATGACTTCGACACAAAAGTGAAGCGACAGCGAGTCGAACGCAGGCCCAGCAGATTACTAGTCTGCGACGCTGCCGACTGAGCCAGACGACTTGTCTGAGAGACAGTGCGTACGGCACGAGTCCCTATCGGCCAGCGCTGGTCGGCACTCTATGTTCGTGGACCGCCTGGGACCACCGCTGGCCGATAGGGACTCGCGCCGCACGCACTGTCTCTCAGACAAGTCGTCTGGCTCAGTCGGCAGCGTCGCAGACTAGTAATCTGCTGGGCCTGCGTTCGACTCGCTGTCGCTTCACTTTTGTGTCGAAGTCATCTGCCCGGCCGTCTCTTCGTCATCTCGTTTCCGTCTCTAAATCGACCGTTTTCGAGACGAATACGAGACAAGGAAAAGACGACCACGACACGACTGAAATACCACAAAGAGCGATCCAAGGCTTGCTGGAAACGTCTCTTTCTCGTCTCGCGGGAGCCTTTTAGGAGTGTTCTGGTACTGGCTTAGGTGTGTTCTAGCGGTATTCACAAAAAGACTAGCAAAAGACGGAAAATGGGCATTCTTTTTCATACGGGACCCGATCCCCGCGGACCCAGCCGAGAGCAAGAGCAGAGGGCTTGCCTCTACGTCCCGGCGGTGCAGATCACACTGTAAAAAAAAATTAGAGTCTAATACGGCACGATCTACGGCGTTACTGTAGTTGCCGCTCTTAGTCACCGCACCTAGGGTACAGAGCGCGAAGTACAGTCTCGCTGTAGCACCGGAAAGCCCAGGTTTTACACGGTACAGTGTACGAATACTGCTCCACTGTAGACAGTTTCGTCCGGTTTTGCCTGTACGGTGGTCCTGTACATTGCTCTCCGTAACAAATTTTAACCATTGAAACTACAGCAATACTGTTATTCGAATAACAGACATTGCTGGAAAATAATTAGCGGTTGATGCTGTCATTTTTCCTGCCATATAATTTTTTGCAGTGCAGGACACTGTGCTGCACGGAACTTTATTGCTTCTCCTTCCAATGACAACGTCTCTCTTTTGTTTCGCAGGACGGATGTACGAGGTTTCCAGGAGTGCGAGCGCGTCATGAGCCTTTGGAGGTATCGTGCCTGAGTAAGTATAATAATAGGGGACCGCTTACTGGCAAAAACGAAAATAAAATAAGGTTCCTGTGGTGGCCCGTGCCGCGGTGCGCGGTCGCGGTACTCTGTTCAAGAGAGGGAAGTTGGCTCGGCGAGTCGATGCGGCGATAGGCTGGGGCCGGGCCCGCCAGGCCTCCTCACGCAGGCTGGCCATATTCGCCTGTCTTGTCTTTCCTGGTGTCTTCGCCAGCGACCCCCCCCCCCCTACCCCTCGTCGGCGGGCCGCACTCTGGCTCTACTCCAGGCTCTAGGTAACCTTCGCGCGGGCGGTGGCCCTGGGCCCAGTAGAGCTCAAGGAGTTGTTACCTTCTCAAGTTTCTGCAGTCTGCGGAAAAAAAATTCCATGTCAGAAAAAAATACTGCATCGTAAAGTCTGAAAAGCGAATCTCGACAGTTTATTGGGGATTTCTTCTAAAAGAGCGAAAGAAAAGCAAACCACTGTGTGAGTTTTTTAGAAAGTCCGTCCCGTTGTGGCCATCCTCTACTCCTACTCGAAGGTAAAGTTTCCGATACTCGCGTAGTGGTTTCCGATGCACTTTTTGACATGTATGAAGTAAAAGCAGAGTCCAGATTGTGATCGCGCGCGACGGCCACCCCATGTGACCACTTCACAAATGAACCCCAGTGGGTAATTTAAAACTATTTCTACAATAAAAATATGCCACTAAAACTTACCAAGCAATAATGCTACCTACGGAAACCCTCTCTGGAATTGCCCGAGTCCCTACCTTTTAATAGGGTATTCCGCTGCAAGCCAACCGGAACCTAAAGAAGAAAAGCATGACTGCTCGATCTGTTTCCCTCTGCGCGCTCATTGGCTGACCGCCACAGCAACGCCATCTTTGGCAAATCAGCGTTCAGGGGGAAACAGATCGGGTAGTCACGCTTTTCTTCTTTAGGTTCCGATTGTGTTGTAGCGGAATACCCTATTTGAATCACAACCCACTTCAACATGCAAATGTAAGCTTGTTAGCAGCGGTCCAGACGACGGTATCAGCGAAATTTTGATGGCTTTTCGAGCATTACACCTGGCTGTCCCGAAGCAGGAAATAAATAGTTGTGTTATGGGTTGATAAGAAAAATTGATTTTTCACCGTAACCTACGTTGCTGTAGGTTTCACTGAAGGCTATGGCAAAGTTTAAACTTTTTACGGTGCAAATGAAGCCCTTCTTTCTTAATCGCAGAAGAAATTCGCTTGTATGGCAATGTCCTCCTTCAGCCCGCTCCTCTGCCGGTTCAGGATGCGCCGGTGCCCGGCCGGGCGGTGGACCCGCCGCCAGGGCCCCGCCCCCTCCAGTTGCATCGCGTTGCGATTGTGCACTCGCTGCTGTCGAAAAGGGAATTGTTTGGAGGCGGCGACCGGAGAGCGGGACTGCTGCGGCGGGGGGGAGGGAGATGGAGTGCTGGGCGGGGGTGCCGGACAGAGGCGTATGTTCCTGGAGGAAGCCTGGAGTGACATCACCACAGCAGCGACGCCAGGCCAGGCCACTGGAGGCTGTGCAGTGTACTGTACTGTACAGTGCTCCCCGGGGCATGCACGCCGCCCCGCAGCAGCGGACTCCATCAGAACTCGCTCCATAAATAACCGCGTCTGTGAGCGCCGCCGCCGCCGCCGTTGTCTTTCTTGTGCGAGCGCGGCAGCAGCAGGCAGCGGCAGCAGCGGCAGCGGCATTGAGGCAGGCTGCGCTGCAGTCGTGTCGGCTGCAGGACAGGGCTGGGCGGCGGGGCCCTCCTGTAGGCCCGCCTGTAGGCCCGCCTGTAGGCCCGCCTGTAGGCCCGCCTGTAGGCCCTCCTGTGTAGGCCCGCCTGTAGGCCCGCCTGTAGGCCCGCCTGTAGGCCCTCCTGTAGGCCCCTCTGTAGGCCCGCCTGTAGGCCCGCCTGTAGGCCCTCCTGTAGGCCCGCCCGCACCCGAAGGGTTAAGGTGTTGCCGATCACGCCGACGTCTTATTGGCCCGCTGTTTGCTCGGCCGGGCCAATCACAAAGCGCCTTGTTGTTTATCGGGCTGGCCTTCCCTCGCCCGCCGCCGCGGCCGCCACGCTTCTCGGAAAAACGAAACGGGTGGCAAAAAAAAGACAAGTAGAAGCTAATTCCAGCAGATCACTCCTCCCCGGTAACACGTCTGTGGCCGCGCTTTCTTATCCAGCCACCTCTCCGCCTACGCCGATCAGCCCGTCCGCCTCTGCGGGGGGTCCCCCGGTCCTCCACCTACCTTCGCCACCCCGAACAAAAGCAGTCAAACTTTCCAAACTCTCGGGGACGCCTCCGGGACGAGCCGGGGAGCGCATCCTCCTGACGGCTGCCGCGCGCATCCTCCGCGGGTGTCTGCTGCGGGTCCTGGCGGCGGTCCTCCGGTGGAGGTCCTGGCCTGGCTGGCCCGGCGCGGCCCACGCGTTGCGGAAGCGGCGGTGCGACGGAGCGCGCGTCGATTGTGCAAACGTGCGACGCGGTGCCCCC